TTCAAATTTTTGACGCATTTTTATATACTGAGGTGCGCTGTATTTGCATCAGAATTTTCCAACTGGCGATTGGCAGACTTTCAAAAATTAATTTCGCGCAATCCATTTCATAAAAACGCCATTTAGGGCACTGGAAAAATTACAGTTTTCTCTATTATTGGGGATAAGTGAAATCTGAAGCCACATTTTTCCAATTTTTCACAAAATTTCTTGCACTGAGGTGCGCTTGTATTTGCATCAGAATTTTCTAACGGGCGACTTGCAAACTGACTTTCAAAAATTACTTTCTCGCAGCTCAGATAGAAAAACGCTTGTTACGCCGCTGCAAACATTCGACCGTCCTCTATTAAGGCGACAAAAGTGACTTCAATGCCCTTTTTTCTGTTTTTTACGAATTCGTATACACAGCAGTTTCCATTTTCAAAACGCTTCAGTCTTCAGGAATATAGCCGCAACTGAATCGAACACTCCTCTGAAGAGGCACTCCACTCGCATTGGCGAAACGTCAGAAAAAAATCAAGTTTCAAGCAAAAGGCTTCAGAAGTCAAAATCTTCTGATAAAAAGCAGCAAATAGTCATGATAATTGGGAAATTGTAGGCAAAACGATTCACGTCCTTATTAAACTGGAAATAGTCGACTTCGGCAATTTTTCCCCGACTGAACCGCCCTGTTAAAGTTAACGGAGTGCTCGTTATTTTGCCGATGCCCACACAGTTAAGAAAAAAATCGAAGTCATTATTTGGCAGTTTCCTAATTTATTCCATTTTCATTTTGTCGTTGGCAGATTTCCTCGGAGCCGAGAGATAATCGCCGAAATAAACGACTCATTGATTTGATTAAATTTCAATATAAAACCTTTCGGAATTCAGTTCCGGCTCTTAATTTGAAGCCCTGGAGATCTGTCATTATCCATCAACTCTATGAGCTAAAGTTTTAAAACAGCCAAACATTTTAATAGAACAATTTAACTGATACTGGAGCGAGCAAATCCAAGTATTTTCCTGCATTTAGCGCTGCCGCTTAAACTGCTTCATGTCGGGTCAGTGAACGTGTGCAAGTTAATTATTAAAGCTAAATGAGCTGCAGGAAGGCATAAAAAAGCCGCATAATCCTGCAACAATAAGCAGTATCGATGTTTGGTTAATTACAGCTGGAAGATCCCAACGTTTGCATTAAAAATGTTAGTTTGGCAGGAATTCCAGCAGAAAATCCACAAGGAAACGGAATGGAAACTTGCCAAGTTTTACCCAAGTTTTCCCTTTGTTGGCAAGTTTTAACAAGTCCAAATTTCGTTCGTGAAAAGAGTACTTGCGGGGGAAATGGCAAGAGAAGCTGTTTTGAAATATACTTCCACTGCTTGTTGCCAGAAAATTAGCTCAACAATAAATTACTCAACAACTAAATCGGTGACTAGAAAGTGCAAAGGTCACTCGATGCAGGCACAGAGCTTCGAACGAATTCCATCAACAAACCAGTTGCTAGGAATGATCGAAACCGATCCGGAACCGATCAAACTAAAACCGTGATTTGGCAGGAAAATAGAAGCAAAACTAGAAAACACTATGTGAAACGAGTAATTTCCTTTCATATGAAGTGAATGTGGAAAATCCATGCCGACATTGATGGATGGAGCAGGCAGTTCTTGCTATAAAACATTGACAATAATTGAGGCTAAACAAAGCAATGGTAGAAAAATTGCCTGAAAACAATTTAAAGCGCATTTGCATTTTTCGTGTCACTTTTCATTTTTTATTTGTTTTCTGTTTGTTTGGGCCTGTTTTCCTTCTTTTATGTTATTCGTTCTTGTGCTCTTCAAATTTCAATTATTTCCTGATGCTTTACCGATTTTCGTGCCTGCAATATAAAATCGCGTAGTCCCGTTGTATTCACGATTCACCCTAACGGTTTGAAAAATTGCCATAAATCCAGGAAAATTGCTATTTAAACTCCATTTAGCCATTAAATAGGGCATAATCATCTATATTGAATGGTGCTAAAACCAGCTATCTTGTTAATCTCGGTTTCGAGTCCAGAATTTTTGAAAACAGCCACGTTAGATTAGAGAAAAAGCTGCGATGTCGACCCTAAAGTTGAAAAAATTGGCAAAATTTGCCCAAAATCTCAATTGATACGAGATACGATTCCTTGAAGGTTTTTAGAGGAAAACCGTCTCTACACAATCGGTTAAAACCGAATCGGTGAATGGCATCTCCTAGATACTCCTTGTTTTGAGCGAAAAATTTTGTAAAATTAAAAATTGCGCGTGAATAGAGGAGAAAATGCAACTTCAGTACGAAAGTCTAAAAAATCGCCAAAAATCAACCAAAAGTGCTGTTCAATTTTCGCTCCGCTCGTTAATAGTGCAACGCATTCCGTATCAAACAGCATGAAAACGAACTTCCTCACTGATTCAGGTTTTGAGTGAAAAATTTTGAAACATACTCTGTCTTGTGTAGGTAACGGAAACGATGAATTTCAACCTGAAAGTTCATGCAATTGCCAAAAATCGCCCGAACAACAATTCTTAGTGGACGCATAAAGCAAACCTGTCTCTATCAAAGGGAATTAAAACTAGGTTTTTAGCTACTTTTGGTTTTGAAGCAGATTTTTGAAGCAGATAACTTTCAGTCCCGTTAATTTAGGAAAATCCGAAATTTCACGCTAAAGTTGAAAAAATTGCCAAAAATTAGCAGCGATTGGGACTCTAATATTTGGCTCACGAATAGAGAAACGGCTGTTAGATGTCAATGAATTTTATAGGATATTTAGAGTTGCTTGCACCTTTGAATAAAGATGTGCAGGCCCGTGTGACTGAAAAGTGGAAATTCTGCAGTTTCAACCGGAAGGTTCCAAACTTTGCTAAAAATAAAAAACGATCGCTTTTAAAATAAAACTGGCATCCGTATAGAGCAACGTTTCCTCTATCAAACGGCATAAAAACTGGCGCTCAGGTTACTCCAGAATTTGAATAATGAATATTTGTAGGATTTCCGGTTGGATTAGCGAAAAGTTTGCAATTTCGACACTAACGTTTAAAAAACGCCAAAATTCAGCCAAAATCTCCATAAACAGGATTACAGCAACCTGCTCTATAAAATAATCGTTCAAAACTGCGCTTTCTAGTTGCTCCTGATTTTGAGCCAAAAATGTTGAAAAATCGCGAACGAATAGAGAGAACACATTGGAATTTCAACCCGAAAGTTCATAAAATTGCCAAAATTCGAGCAAGCTTGTTGTAATGACAATTCTTTTTGGGCGCATAGAACAATCTCGTCTCTATATAAGGGCATAAACAGCAGTTTTTTGGCTGCTTCTGGTTTTGAAGCAGAAAATTTCAAAAACTTTCAGTCTCGTTGATTTAAGGGAAACACCGCAATTTCAAGGCAAAACTTTGAAAACTTGCCAAAAATTTACCGCAGTTGGGTTTCATATAATATTTGGCACGCATATCGCAAAGCCCCTGCTCTATATAACGGAGTAAAAAGGAGATTTATAGTTGCTCCCAACTTTGTACAAAGATATTTGAAAAATAATCAGGCCCGTGTGACTAGTGGAAATATTGCAGATTCAACTCGAAAGTTCCGAAATTTGCCAAAAATAAACAAACATTGCGTGTGAAACACCACTCCGCATCCTGATAGAGCAATGCTTTCCCTATCATATGAAATAAAAATGAGGCTTCAGGTTAGTCCAGAATCTGCGTGAAAATTTTTTTGAACAAGTCCTTTTGGGTTAGTTTGGGTTAGTTGCTCTAAGCAAACGCTTCAATTTACAACCCAAAGCTCAAAAATTTGCCAAAACTCTAGGGAAGTCGGCATTTAAGCGATTCTAAGCGCACAGATAAAGCACGTTCTTCCCTATCAGTGGGTATAAAAATAATTTTTCAGTTGAACTGCATGTGAATTTCACAGCTTTAAAAACATTGATAATTTAAAAATTCGTCGCCCTAAAGCTCTGGTTTATAAAGAAATGTGCGTCATACTTGGAAAGATTATGTTGTAAGATTCCACTATTGAAAACATGTCTAGTTTACAATTTTTTATTTTCACTCACACCCGGAAACCGTGTTATACAGAGTGTTTGGCAAAAAGTGGCACATTTTCAAAGAACCAAAAACATATAAGAATCTATAAAATATACATTTCATAATACAAAAGCTGCGTTTGTTTTGCCAGCAGACGTTAGAGGACGGCTTGACCTCAAAGCTAATATCTGGAAAATTGCTCTGAAAAGAGCTCTATGCGTTCTATGAAAATGTGCATTCAAACCTGAAATAAACCGCCTGAAAGGTGGAAACCTACTTAACTAAAATGGGCAGCGTGTTGACGAATCAGCAACTTTTCTGCTGATATATAGTGTCTTTTTCCTTTGCGAACCCAACGCGTGTAAAGGTCGCAACTGTAATGGTGTTTTATTGTCTCTGTTACGTTGCCCTAATGGTAACTTATGGGCTTAGGAAAAGGTCAAGGTTTGATTATCTCCCGAATTACGATTCCCATCGTTTGAAACTTTTATGTTTGGCGATTTGAAGTTTTTCCATTCCGTTGTATCCGTTAAATATTGTCGAGTCTCTCAAAGGTTGCGTGAAGTGATTGGTGTCGATTGGCCACTATTCCATCACGAGTTTGTTTAATGAAATTGATTTTTTCCGGCGTCCCACGCTTGTCCGATGCCGGTGCGAAACAAGTGGCTCTCCATTAAATTAACTTCCAATAAAAGAAATGATTGTAATCGAATTGGATCGGCGTGCCACGTCCAGTGTCTTCGGGCGGTCACCAGCCATTACGTCAGCAATTTAATTATCTTCACTTTTCCTCGCTCGGCCCATTCGTACCGCAAGGAATAATCAAATTTGCTAAATTTAATTGGCCCATCTAGGCTAAGCTTTTCATTCTAAATTTAGCCGCTGTTTTACGGCGAAAATGGCACGTGTTCACTAAGAAAACAAGCAAAAGTTATATAAAAAACAAAGCTGTTGAAGTTTTACGAAACCTGTAACTCCATGGTCAAATTGTGCAAATTAATGCAAAGTTTTTTAATTTTTGACATTTAAGCTGTTACTCGGTACAATTACAATAAGTCTTCGGTGGGGTTTCTTCGTTAGATTGTGCTCAGGAGGATCTTCGTAGTTGGCCTGGTTGTGGAAGACAATGAAAGAGCGTCCAAATCACGAAAATCCTAGTAAAGCCCGAAAATTTTTAACAATTCAGCTACAAACAGCAAAGTCGCCAAATTCACCATGCCGTTTAGGCAAAGTTTCCTTTATCCATTTTTGATACCCGGGTGTTGAGGTCTAGTCTACTTGAGGAGGAATGAGCCGTAAAAGACAACAGTACAAGAAGGGCCACATCTCGCAAATCCTAGAAAAGTTTACAAATTAATAATATGCCAACTGCTTTTCCGAATAGTTTAAAAATCACGTCTGCAATTCCGTGAGGTTTCGTCTATCGACTGTTAAAACACGTATTTTTAGATCTGTTCTGAATGCTGAGCAAGGAACTGTTGCGGAAGACGGTGCAAAACTGAGCAACTTGCGCCCATCCAAGTAAACTTCCTGAATTGATAACTTGTCAATCTTTTGCTCAAGTAAAATACAATGTTTATGGGTTAAGTGGAGTCTAGAGGAATTTTCAGAACCGCACCTTCTTGCCTGGTCTGGTTGTTGAGAAATTGACAGTAAAGGAAGATGGTGCAAGAAGAGCTATCGCGCGCAAAGTATCAGGAAGTTTTTAAACTATCAACAGTTAAACCACGCTTTTGAAGAAAACGTAATTTACACCTGGAAGTGAGTGTTAAGTGAATGTTCAGTGATCGATTGGTGATGACATAATCTTGACTACTTCTCTGGACGTTGAAAAAATGAGCTTTCAAGTCAAACAATGCAAGATTGACTAAACCACGCAAATCATGATACATTTCCAAAATTAATGAAAAGTTCAGCAATCGCGCAATTGCAATGAAATTTACATCAATATCTAAGTGTAGCTTCCTTTATAGGGGGTCTTAAAAATTAATAAAACTCAAACCGCACTTCCAAATACTGCGCAAATCACGTCCAGTTTTACGAAGTTTTTCTTTTATTGATTTAGCAAACGCATTTCGTGATAGTTGCTTTCAATGTCGAGGAATTGACAGTACAGGAAGAATGACCAAACTGCGCCTTTCCATGAAAATTTCCTAAAATGATAACTACTCATTCGTTCACTCAAATTAAGTGAGATGCATTTGCAGGTGTAATTAAAGCTTGGTTTATCGAATTCTAGGACCCGCGTCTTCATGCCTGGTCTGATAGTTGAGAAATTTACAGCCAAGGGAGATGGTGCAAGAAGAACAACCGCGGGAAAATTACCATAAAGTTCCTAAATTAATGCCAATTAAACCGCGTTCTTCTAGAAAACTAAATTCTTCTCCTATTGACTGAGATTAACAGCATTTTGATCGCGGGTGTGCACTTTAAACAAGAGGGTTTGAAGTAAGCCAATGCAAATATTATTAAACCTCCTCAATACTGGAAAACTTCCAAAATTAATAACAAATCCAGGACTCACCCGAATGTATCAAAGTTTACGGAACGGAAGTTTCCTCTGTTTTCCGCTAAAACCCGCATGTACAGACGTGGTCTGTCTGTGGAGAAATAGCCAATAGAGGAAGACAGTGCAAGATAGGTCAAATCGCGCAATTTTTACTAAAATTCGTAAATTAATCGCTATCGGGTTCCTAGTTCAAATGAAACAAAATTTCCAGAGGGTCTATAGCCAGGCTTTGGCTATCGACTTTTGAAACACTCATCTTGAACTCCAGTCTGAGTCTTGAGAAAAGAGCATTAGAGTCATACGGCGCAAGGAGAGCCAAATCACGCAATATTCAAGGGCTTTTCGAAATTAATATCAAGCAAACCAGCCATGCAAATACCGCTAAAATAACTTCATTCAGATACTCCTGAATGCTTCCTCTACCAATTTTTTACTCGCGCATTGCGATAGTTGCTCCAGATCTTGCAGACTGGAGAATAGCGCAAGACAGTAAGGCCAAACCGCTCAAGTTCTAGTAAAATGCCCAAATTAACAACAATTCATCTAGTACTTTGAATGAAACAAAATTCTCACCAAGTCTTCACACAGGTCCCAACTATCGCACATTTCAACCCATAGCTTGCTCTGCAATCTGGATCTTGAGGACTGGGCAGTAATCGAGGCCGATGCAAATAGGGCCAAATCGTATTAACGCAGGTCAGGCTCAAAAATTAATAGTAAATAAACCGTTGCCCCCAAGTGCATCAAATTCTCTCGGAATCCGCGGCAAAAAATCGTATATGGACTGCTAAAACCGGCGTTCCGATATCGAGATTTTGAGTAATCGGGTATAAGAGAAGACAAATCACAAGCCTTGCAAATCCCCGCAGAAACAGTGCCTAGAGCCTCTATCTTCGTAAGGGTTTTCAATTTTTTTCGCAAAGGCTCTATTGAACAGTTGAGCAATATAAAAAGACAGATTTGTTTATCGCTCAAAACCCCTACCAGCAGGACAATTTCCAGCAGATCCACTGCCTCCATAAACATTCAGAAACTCCTGCTTTCTTATCTGAAACCTTCGCGTTCTCTTTTAGGAGATTTACTGCCTGAAGAGATAAAAAAATGGGGCGCCGCCAGTACGATGACATTGTATAGATCCATCCGACGGTTGGAATCGAATGTGTTTGTGCTGCTAATGTATGTCGAAGGAAAAATAAGCCTTTCAAAGCCAACACAGGCGGGTATCGATAGAGGGCAAATTGAATGCAATGGAAATTAGAAGGTTTCTTGGCAAAAAACGCTTTGATCGCGGTGCAGACAAAAGGAAAAAGGTCATTGGATAAGAGGGGTTCAATTTCGCGCCGAATTACACTAAATCCAGAACGGTTTTCCCTCGAGGGCGGAAAACAAAGTAAGAACTACATTAGGAATTTCTTTTAATCATTTGAAAGTTTCGTGTGCGGCTAAAAGCCTGGAAATTGAGAAAAATGAAAGCACGTTTCAATATCAGGGCATCGGGGGAAGTTCATCGATATCTAAAACCATCGTGTTGGATAAATAAAAACTGGCCAGCAGGCAGAGCCACTCACATTTCCCGATAGGAGCAAATGGATTGTATTGTAAGGGATATTCTGCCCTAATATCGGCTGAAGACCCATTCGGAGCCGATACATTTGAGTGGGATTTTGCCGAAAGAATCGTGACGTGTTTCTGCATCAATCACCAACGTTTCAAGGGTTTAAATCGCACATATTACTCGACAGGAAATAAGCCGAACCGACACGAACACAAATTGAATGTTATCTTTCGAGCGGCCGGATTCCGTCAGGCCAGAGAGGAGAGAATGCGGTTGCTGTTTGTTTTAGCGGCTGCAAATCTATACCGAATTGTAATCAAGCGAAACATGCATCCGTCCTAACTAATTTTCGCATTAAACCGCTCTCGAGCGAATTCCTGCTGTGCCATTCGTATGCGGGAGGATGGAATTTACGTCGAGTGGACGGTTTGCCTGGGAGTGATTCTTCCGATTTGAATTCTCATTCTCATTGCGCAATTTAAAAAAAATGTAGACGTCAGATCTAAATCGAAGCGAAGAATTTGGTTGAATTTAATCTATCAGTTTAACGGTTTGATTATGTATTGATAAACTTTGCTAAAATGTTCGGGGTCTTTTTTAATGACAATTCTTCGGGCTTCAGTCCAGGCACGAAGATACAGGGTTCAGCAAGGGATTGTTAAAGATTTGAAGTCGCCATGTGATGTTTGATATGCCGGATTTGTCCCTCTTGCACCATTTACTTTTATGGGCCATTTCTTAGCCTACACGCCGAGAAACAAGATTGCCACTACATGAGTTTATTAACAAAGGCTTTCTGAAGACTTAGTAGTAATTTGCTTTAAATCATATCAACTAATTTCATTTTTAATAACTTTGGAAATTTATTTGATCTTGCGCGTTTTTGCCCTTTTTGCACTGTCCACATTCAATGTCGAATTCTCAAAACTGCGTCTAAATATGGTATAAATTTCAAGTTGCTTCTGCTTTTAGTTTGAATGTTCCGAAATTTTAAAAGGTGCGACTTTTAAAGGGAAAAGCGCAGTTCAGTAAAACAATTTGGGATCGATATTTACGAAGCTGCAAAAAAATCAGAATTCAACGCGATTTTCACGAAACTTTCAGGAATTTTAGAATCACGCATCCTCTAAGCATGGTCTGAATTTCAAGTTGTTACTTACCTAAGTGTGGAATATACGAATTTTTAACAGATTGGGCGCAGTTGAAAAAACTTACATTTTGATCCTGATGTTTAGGAAGCTGTCAAAAATCAGGATTCTGGGTGATTTTCATGAAACCCACCTCATCATTAGAGTCAGCTTTCGTCTAAATATGGTGCAAATTTAAAGTTGCTACTGCTTTTAATGTTTGACTGTTAAATACATTTTCAAAAGTGCGGTTTTTTAAAAGGAAAAGCGCAGTTGAGTAAAGCAATTTGAGGCCGATATTTACGAAGCTTAGAAAATCAGAATTCAGCGCAAGTTTCACGAAACTTTCAGAAATTTTAGAATCACACATTCTCTAAACATGGTCTAAATTTCAACTTGTTACTTGCCTTAGTGTGGAAGATACGAATTTTTAGCTGATTGGGCGCAGTTCAAAAACTTACATTTTGATTCTGATGTATACAAAGCTGTCAAAAATAAGGATTCCTGGTTATTTTCCTGAAACTTTCCTCATCATTCGAGTCAGCTTTAGTCTAAATATCGTGCAAATTTCAAGTTGCTTCTGCTTTTAGTTTGAATGATGGGAAATTTAAACTAACCAAACTAACCCAAATTAACTTAGCAAATTAACCACAATTTGCCCGATTTTGCCTTCCTTGTACGGACATTTTTTAGGCTGAATTCGTAACATCCTCAGCGGCTTTCGCCATACGAAACACTGGAGTCGTTGGCAAAGGGTCTCCTAAAATTAGCTGTTAATTTGGTTCAATTTACGCAATTGGTTTAAGCTGTGTTAGTTTAGAAAGTCAGTAGGATTTTCGCGGATTTGGTCCTTCTGGCGCTGCCTTGCTTTAAGACCCATTTCTCAACGCCCAGGCCGGATATCACGATATCGCCTACAGCGATAGACAGACTAGGCATTCCTGAAAAACAGGTGTAAAATTGGTTTCAATCAAGTAACAAGTTCAATTGTTGTTAAATAAGTATTAGGATTTGCGCGGTTTCAACCTACTTGCACTGTTATCTTTTATGGACGATTCATCGAGATCCAGGGCAGGCATCACATTACTTCTTAGACACTTCAATAGAAGTAACTTCATTTTAAACTCCTCTTAAATTTGGTTTTTTTTCCGGCTAAATGGCGTAAGCTGCCGGTTTAGGCGAATAGTGAAGGATTTAACGCAAAAGGCCCAACTGAACATGCATATTTTATAAGGTCAGACAGCAGCGATGCACCGTTATTTACATATCGCTATCTAACAGGAATTAGGTCAGCTTCTATATTTTTAAACCTGTTTAGAACAGCGTGGTTTTTTGCATTTGGAAAGTTTTCGCTAATTGCACGTGGCCATCAAAAGGCTACACTTTGCTCGAAAATTTCCTGCTGCTTTTGAAAAGTTCCGGACGGTCCACTGAGAGCTTGCAATGTTGAGAACCAGCAGCAAATTCCCGAAAATTTAATTTCGCATTTTATTCAATATTCCTTGCAGCTGAGGAGTTGGAGGAAACTCGTTTACTGCCAACAGTCTAGACGAGTTTTGAGTTTTCCAGGTTTCCACATTAAAGTTCAAATCCCACTTTAGTCCATTCTGGAGTCAAGCTCGTTCCAGATTGAATGATTTCCATATTCTTCAAAGTGTTTTACTTGGACTGGCGCATGGTTCTTTAATCAAACGGACAAAGAGTATGAATTGCGTGCAACACGTAGATGCTAAATATTCCTCGCAGCTGCTTACGCATATTTATTCTAAATGCAAATTTTTCGGAAAAGTCATCCATCAAACCGACTGCGTCTGTTTTTTTCGCAAGAATTAAAATTGGAAATTCGTTGTTTCGCTCAATCAGGTCCCTATTGTTAGGCGGCTTTCCCAAAATAAATTGGCCAAATAATCAGACGAAGCTTTACATGGTTAGTAATTATACGAGTTTGCTGATCGCCGCTTTCCCTAACGCTGGGGTTGGTAGTTAATAGCAATTGAAAATATGCAATTACTCCGCGTATGGGGGTGGTTTAATGGAACGCAACATGAAATCCGAGGAAAGGATAATGAATATTTAAAATTAACGTGCACGCTGCCATTTAGAGCACTCTATTTGGCGGCCAAATCCTGGCGTGTTTCTGCGATTTTATCTCACAAAAAATCGCTGTTAGCCCTTTTCGTGACACGTCCATACAAGTTACGTACATTAGAACGTTAATATTCATCAGTGTTATGCCGCAAATGGCACTCTTTGTTTGGCCAGTTTGCACCCTTGGACACAACCCGCTTATTTTCCACTTACATGATTGATTTGGAACACTTAATTTCAATGGTTTTGTTTAAAAAAACCTTCAAAAGTCTTTGGTTGACGGAATAGTGCGGTAATTTTACCTGAAAGTTTGGCTGGTGTTCAAAAAAAATTGCCATTAACGTTTGCTTGTAGTTTCGGAACCTCGATTTTTTCTGGACTATTGACCAAACAAAAATATTGATTTATTTACCGGTGTTGTTTGGTCATCAAGCTTCTCAGTCCTGTAAGTGCCACTAAATGAAAGTTTCCTCAAAGATATTAAAAATTTTTAGATCGCGTTCGCTCCTTGTTAAACATTTTTATCTTTCACACATGAGCAGGTAGCAGCTACAAATTTTTGCACATTCTAGCAGAGATCGGTGGCTAATACGGGGGTTAATTTGATGAAAATTAAGGGAACTGCTTGCTGATTTTTGTCAGCTTAGAAAATATCGGTCTCACGGAGGACGTTACTTCTCAACCGCGTTCTCTGCTTTAAAAACTCGCAACTTCTGCAGTAAACCAGGCAGGACCTTGAAATTACCATTTGGAGCAAATAGTTGAGGCTAAGGAGCGGAAAAGTTTTATTGAAATCGCCCCAAATACTGATTTTTGCCAGCTTACCTAATCTTAGCCTGCCGATGGAGGTTTATACCCAACCGCGCCATCTCCACTATTTTCACCATCTCTAGAATGGATGCAACTCGCAAGATCCGCCAAGGTTCGCAACAATTGCCGAGCAATTGTGATTTTTGCGCTGTAAGTAAAAATGGGCATCAAAATTGATGTGTTTAACGTTTCTCTCACCCCTTCAAAAATTGTACTTTTCAAATTATAGCAAGTAGATAATTGAAATTCACACTGTCCATAGAACACACTTGACTCTAACGATGTTGAAAGTTTTACGAAAACCGTCCACAATATAAGATGCCTCTTCATAACTGCGCGCTTTCTGTTAAAAATTTCTAACTTCTGCGTGAATGCCCGTAGAAGTCTGGAATTTTCACTCTTTTGAGACGAAGCTGGCGCTAAAAGATGAAGAAAGTTTCATGAAAATCACCAAACATAGTGATTTTTACTAGCATTTCAAATATCGGTCTCTCAATAAAGGTTTCTAACCAACCGCGTTCTCTCTTTTAAAAATTCGTAACTTCTCAACTAACTAAATTAAAAACTCGAAATTCTTGCACTGTTTAGATGACACTTCGCAATAGAAATGCGGAAAGTTTCATAAGAGTGGTCGACAATTCTGATTTTTACCTGGCTTCCAAATTCAGTTTTCCATCAATGTTTTCACCCAATGGTGCACTTTAATTTAAAAATTCGCACCGCAGGAATAGCAGTGTTAATAATTCTAAGCCTAAAGATACTGAAAGTTTCAAAAGCTTAGTCCCGAATGCTGATTTTTGCGAGCTTAGGACATATTGGTTTCAAGATGGATGTTTCTTCCTAACCGAGCGCTTTCGCAATCTGTAAACGCGACTCTAATCTGAACATGCGGAAAGTTTCACAAAAATCTTCAAAACTTCCAATTTTTACTATCGTACCACATATTGATCTCAAAATGTTTCCAACTGCGCTCCGTACTTAAAAAAATTGCACCGTCCGAACTAAAGCCACTAGCAATTTCAAAATTTCGCAATCTTTAGCAAATACCTTGCTCTATGGAGAGTCGAAGTTTCATCAAAATAGCAAATAATTTAGATTTTTGGCAATTTGGAAAATATCGCTCTCAAAATGTATGTTTTTGCTCAACTACACTCTCTCGTATAAAAAATTACATCCTTCAAACCATACGAAGTGGCAACGTGAAAATTATCGCACCTTTCAGAGGAACCTTCAAGTTCAGAATCCTGATTTTTTTGCAGCTTTGGAATTGTCGGTCTCAAAATTGATGTTTCTTTCCTACCGCGCGCTCTTTTATAAAAATTTGAAACTTTTACAAAACCGCAACCGGCAGCTGGACATTTTTGCTATCTATAGAAAATACGCAAGTGTAGAATTGCTAAAAGATTCCTGTTTGCTGGATTGCTGAAAATTTGTAAACATTCTGATTTTTACCAGCTTTCCAAATATCGGTCTCAAAATTGATGTAACTCAATTGCGCTCTTTCCTTTAAAAATTCGCATCTTTCTGCCTAAAAAAATCCACTTGAAATTCTCTCCGTCTATAGCCAATACTTGGGGCTAAAGACTGAGAAAATCTGAAAGTACTCGGGCGAAATTCTGATTTTTGGCAACTCTCCAAATATCAGTCTCAAAATTGTCTCTCAAACCTGCACGTTCTTCTTAAAAAACTGGCATCTATTTAATCAAAGCAAGCAGCAATTTGAAACTTTTACCGTACTTAGATGAGACTGTGTGCTACAGAGATTCCAATTTTGAGAGAAGTTTTTGAGAATGTTGAATTTTTTCAGATTATGAAATGTCAGTTTGAAAATGCATGTTTTTACTCAGCTACGCGCTCTGCTTTAAAAATTCGCAGCTTCGACACGAAACCATCTAGCAATATGAAATTTTCACCATCTGTAGACTACGCCTGATACTGATAATTCAAAAATGACGATGACAGATGACCAAATTTCAGTCTTTAAATGGATGTTTTTGCCCAACTGGGTTCTCTACTTGAAAAATTCGCTACGGCCGAAATTGTCCCGATAGGTCAAATATTGGTCTCAAAATTAATGTTTTCACCCTACTACAATTTCTTCTAAAAAAATCGCATGTTTACAACTGAAGCTCGTGGCTATTTGAAACTTTCACCATCTTTAGAAAATACTTGGCTCTAAAGATGCTGAAAGTTTCACGGAAAGCGTCCAGAGTCTTGATTTTTGCCAGCTTAGAAGATATGTGTAGCAAGATGGAGTTTTCCTACACAACCGCGCTCTCGCTTTCAAAAATGTTAGATTTCTAAACAAATACATGTAGGAACTTGAAATTTTCACAGTCGTGCGAAAAAGCTTGTGTCTAAAGAGGCTCAAAGTTTCATAAAAATGTTGTTCTTTTTTTGCCGTTTTGGCGAAAATGACATCCAGTTCTTTTTTCCATCGTCTTCGCGTCTGAATAGTGTGAATGTAAGACGAGCCAGGAATAAGATGATATTTTTGTAGAAAAGCGATTTTATCTATAGAAGAAACGCAAGTGTAGAATTGCTGAAAGTTTTCCTAAACTTGTGAACATTCCGATTTTTACCAGATTTCCAAATATCGGTCTCAAAATTGATGTTTTAACTCAATTGCGCTCTTTCGTTTAAAAATTCGCATATTTCTACCTAAAAAAAATCCTCTCGAAATTCTCATCGTCTGTAGCCAATACTTGTGGATAAATATTGAGAAAATCTGAAAGAAATCGGCTAAAATTCTGATTTTGACAGCTCTCCAAATATCAGTCTGAAAATAAATCTCTCTGAGCTGCACGTTCTTCTTTAAAAATTGGCATCTACTTAATGAAAGCAAGCAGCAATTTGAAATTTTTGGCGTACTTAGACGAGTCTGTATGTTACAGGGTCTCAAATTTTCATTAAAGTTTTTGAGAATATTGATTTTTTTCAGAATATGAAATGTCAGTATGAAAATGCAACATGCATTTTGTCACTCAACTACGCGCGCTCCTTTAAAATTTCGCAGCTGCGAAACGAAACCAACTAAGAATTCAAATTTTCACCATCTTTAGACCGCACCTGATCATAATAATTCGCGAAGTTTCCACGAAATCGCAGGAAATGCTGATTTTTTCCGAGTCAATAAAATTTAAATCTTTAAATGGATGTTTTTATCAAAAATTCCCAGGAATCCTCATTTTTGGCAATTTTAAAAATTGGTGGTCTCAAAATTAATGTTTTAACACCTTACTACAATTTCTTATAAAAAAATCGCACGTTCACAACTGAAGCGCGTGGCTATTTGAAACTTTCACCATCTTTAGAAAATACTTCGCTCTAAAGATGCTGAAAGTTTCACAAAAACCGACCAGAATCCTGATTTTTGCCAGCTAGGAAAATATGGGTATCAAGATGGATTTTTCCTACCCATCCGCGCTCTCGCTTTCAAAAATGTAGAATTTCTAAAGAAATACATGTAGGAACGGAAAATTTTTACAGTATTGCGAAAAAGCTTGGGTCTAAAGACGCCGAAAGTTTCATAAAAATTGTTCCCTTTTTTTCTGTTTTGGGGAAAATGACATCCAGTTCTTTTTTTCATCGCCTTCGCCTGTGAAATTGAATTCGGTTGCCAGCATATGAAAGAGCACAAAATACGCTGATTTCGTCTAAAATGGTTGTAGTTTGCACAAGTAGAAAACGAAAAAAAAAACATGCAGAAATAAGGAAAAGTATTGCTCCAATAAAGTTGTTTCTTCGAGTGTTTTTTGGGATTCGAACTCAACCCGTGAAAAACCTGCCTGGCTGCCTCCACTGAATTGAGCTTTAACACCCCATTGCTACATATAAAAGAGTGATTAGTAACTGGGTCTGGTTTATTGCCACAAGGTGAATTAATGGAAATTTTCGTTCTTTTTCCAGCAGATCGAAATTGATTAAGACCCTGGGCCCAAATGAAGAAACTATTCCGCCACTTCCCGCTAGGGAAGAGAATGTTCTTCTACAACTGGTGGATCGAGTGCGCCTTATGGCCCGACAACGTCTAAGCCAGTAGGTAAGTTTTGCGAAAACCTCTGACCTCCTGGGTGCAAATTACTGAAACCCATTTGCAGGAATTTAATTTCGTCAAATTCCATCCGTTCGCTAATTTTAATGGAGTCTTTAGATTGACGGGGGCGAATATTTCGGTATTTTGATATTCTTTCGCCAGCCGGTAATAAATTAAAGCGGGCCCTGGCAAACATAAATCATATTGATTAAATTCAACAGGGAGTCGCGTCGTTGCCACCACCGAAGGCAATTTCGTATTCTGTTGTAGTTATCAGCTTGTAAATTAACTATTGTTTAGCGAAAAACTTGAGCCATGCGATTAAGGCCGTGGATTAGATTTATCGCTGGCGTTTCTTTTCCCGCTCGGTTTCAAGTGGTTGGCTGATTTATCGATACTCCATCCGCCGCTTTGGTTAATCCAAAGTGGCAAGCTTTTAATGGCAAGCTTCCTGCAATTGCACTAAAGTTATGCACTACAAGCCATCTTAATGCATCTGAGCGCTCGCAAATTGCTCATCGCTCGCTGCATTCAGGCATTAATTTGAATACAATCCACCGAATTGCCAGATCAAAACTGAAGCTCCTCCACAGCCTTATTAATTTACTTGGCAGTTTGGAAATGTTTGTTTGCAACTTTTTCCGTTCGTACTTTCGTCAGAAAGTTCTTTGCAATCTAACTTCGGTTCCATTGCAGACTGTTTAACATCGTCAACTCTGTCAACCCCCATCTGGAACGGTAACATGGCCTGAAACGAGCTGTCCTTCCAAAAGCCCACAAAGCATGCCTTTTAAGGTAAGTTTTCCGTACTGAGATAACCCAGAATTTAATCCCAACTCCCGCGGGCCGCCGAGTTTGTGCGTAAAAGGCCGGTTTTTTTCCCCGATTGTTCAAAGCGACTTCTTGCGTTCGGTTCTCATAAAGGGTTTCCGATGTATTCCCCTGTCAAATGTCTTTTGTGAGACGCTATTTATAGCTCTATACACGGCGAAATGTGATTTTAAAATCGATAAAAGCTCTACCTGGAAAAATGATATGCTGCAAATCAATCAGGGCTTTGCAACATTCAGCTGGTTTCCAATTCCCGTTATATTTTAGGGCGCTTTTACACCATGTTTCAATAAGCGACTTAACTCAATGTTCGAAACTGCAAATCAATATGCCACTGTACACAGTCGCTTCAAAAGAACTTTGACATGTGCTTTGTCCAAATTCAGCAGGTTTCTAGCCAGGAGAATTTCCGTTAAAAGCAGGCCAGTTTCCTGGCCGCTATTAAAGTCTTGCAGTTATTGTTTCAGTCCAAAAGACATTAAAAACATTTAGGTTCTTCCTCTTGCCTTACCTGAAAAAAATAGTCCGGCGCACATAAGCATTCGGCGAGTCTTGAAGTCGTTAGTGAAACGATGTCTGAACATTTGAACACTCACTAGAATATCTAAGGTTCGATAAAAGGATTTTTCAAGTCATTTTAGGTAGTCTTGAAATCGCACTTGAACCTCACTGACGACCGTTTGTTAGTGTTTTTAGGGCTTCATAGCCTTGCCAGCTGTTTGGAAAACTCTATTGGAGATCTCTGTTGGAGATCTTGCAGTCAGTTTTAAGCAGACTGTGCAAACTTCGGTTCCTAACAGTTTCTTCCTGTTTCAGAATCAAAAGCTTGATTTAAACGATTTATTTGGCGATCTTAGTAAACATTTTTTGTACTGCCTCAGCCTTGAAGCCCCTTTAATTGCGCGAACGTTTTGAAGACTTTTAAAGGTTTTTGAGGCACTTTTAAGGAGGCTTGAGAGCCAGTTTAAAAAATTGGCAATAAATCTAACAGCAAACGTTCAGTTCACAAGCTGCTTCAAGCCTTATCGTGTCCCGGCCTGAAGTCGTTGCCTCAATTGGTTTTTAGAGTAGTGAAGTCGGTTTAAGACTTTTATTTCTTTGAGTGAAAAGAATGGATTTTTTAAAGAAAACGTTTGATCTAAACATTGAAAAGCGGGAACAGGTTTCGGAAGTCTTGAAGCTGCTTATGGTTCTTCAGATTTTTGGAGAAGTTTTGGTCAATTTCAGGTTTCAAGTAGCTTGAAGCTCTAAATCTGCAGTTTAAAGCGACTTTTCGGGTCTTGAATTCATTTGTCAAACCCTTTTAGTTCTTGAAGCTTTTGACGCACTAAAGATAAAAATGTTTCAAATAGTTGCATTCAATTTAAAGTCAATTTTTCAAATCCCAAATTGTTGGATGTCTAAAATCGCACTCCAAGTGAGCTTTTGCGGGGTTTTGAAGTCATTTCTCAACGACTTTGAGCTTTTTAAGTTGGCGTCAAACTAAAGAAAAATGAATTTTAAACAGCGCACTTAATTTAAAGACAATCTTTAAAGTCTGCAGCTGCTTGAAGCTCTAAAGCTGCAGTTTAAAGGGACTTTTCCGATCTTGAAGTCATTTATCAAACACTTTTGGTTCTTGAAGCTTTTGACGACTAAAGAAAAACCTGTTTCAAATAGTTGCCTTCCACCATTTATAGTCGGTTTTTCAACTCCCAAGTTGTTAAAGCTCTAAAGTTGCACTCCAGCTGAGCTTTGGCGATTTTGAAGTCATATCTCAACAACTTTGAGCTTAAAAAGTTGGTGTCAGGCTAAAAAAAAATGAGTTTTAAACAGCAGACTTAATTTAAAGACAACGTTTTAAGGCTCAAGCTGCTTGAAGCTCTAAAGCTGCTTTGCAGTTTAAATGAACTTTTGCGGCTTTGAAGTCATTTCTCTTGGCTCTTGAAGCCTTTGACGAACTAAAGAGAAAAATGTTTCGAACAGTTGCCATCAATTTAAAGTCAATTTTTCAAATCTAAAGTTGCAGTTCAACTGAGAAATTGCGGTCTTAAAGTCATTTTGCAACACTTTTGACTCTTGATGCTGCACTCACGCAAAAGTAAGGAACGTTTGAAATAGTGGACTTCAATTTAAAGACAATTTTTCAAATCTAAAATAATTGAAAGACAACTTTTCCATTGTCAAACTCCGTCGCAGTACAAATGTGGATTTCAATGTAAAAAGGCGATTTTAAGTGGGAAGTTTCCTGCTCTACTCTATAGAACCTGCTCGAAATTGTCCTTTTGTGTCGACGTTCTCGCTCCTGGTATAATTAGGTAAATTGCGAAATAATATTAGCTTCCCTTAAACTTTCCGGAATAATACAGAGCATATCCCGAATATAAAGCAACTTGCTCAAATGTACCCATGCGACTTCTCTAAGGACGAAAACCACCAAATCGATATTTTAGCTGAAACGTGTCAGGAATCTGCACCTTGACAGACTGCTAAAGTTGCATTTTTCTCAATTTTCCTTTTGAGCTTCGCTTCTGCATACTTTCTTGTCGTTCTTCGTCGATGCAAAACCGTCCCGACCCAGTCCAATTCTCGTTAAAAGGCGGTTTCATCGTTTCCAAAAGCCATGAGCCTGAAAACTCGGCAGTTTGGGCTTTTAAATGAATTTTACATTCGCTGGATTATTAAAGTTTATTGAAACTGTTATGGCGGACGAAATGGCTTTAGTGCTCGTTTAGTGTTCAACGCAGCAACATTGCTGACCCAAAAAGCCCCTTTAGAGAATGCAGACATCTTTGCTGTTGTTCGCTTAAATTGCCTGGAAATTGCACATTTGCTGCGACGTTTCACTTGCATCTAACGCAGGCATTTTCAGTTCAATTCAAGTCCTGGTGATTGCTCGTAAAAATTGTCATCGAAAAACAGCCCTAAAATATGTGGACGATCAATAGAATGTCGCTGGAACCGAAAGCATATTACCGGATGTGACGTAAAACAAATCATATAAAGTATAACCGAGGCATCAAACGAATGGCCACTATATTTTAACGTCCGATTCAAGTAATAGGCGCCAGTTTTCCCTGTTTACAGCAAACGTTTTAATTCAACGACTTTCCGGCGAGTTTTTCCTCTTTGGAGGCTTCAAATGGAAATAAAACAGCAGTTGATTAACAGAATTATGCCAAAATGAGCCTGGAAGGCTTTGGAAGGCGTGAACACTTTAGGGCTTTGGAGTCACTTACTGTGTTAGATTGGGTGAGATTTACAAGTTCCGCAGTTTGAAGCTCATTCAGTCTTGGAAAGCAATGGTTTTCTCGTTTGCATGCAATTTGGAAGCAAACGCGCCACTTTCAGGTGGTTCTAAGCACTAATTTTGCTGCTTAAAACGTCTTGAAGTCAATTTTTAAACATAAAACGTCATCAAACTCCTTTGCAATTGTCTGTCTATTAAAGCGATACTCGCTTGAAATTCTGCAGCTTTTTAGCGGAAAAATTAAAAATGTTCTTCTATTTAAAAAGTCTTGAAGTCATTAGTTATTCTCATTTGGTGGTTACACATACATTCAAACTTTCAAGAGTTGATGCTCTCAGTGGTTTTTAAATAACTTTTTCGAAGTTGCAGTCGTTTCATCGGTTCAAATGACGAAATTAAATGGCTTAAAGCCAACCTTGGAAGGTTTTCAACCTTGGAAGGTCTTTGAAGCTTATTTTAAGCACCAGTAAATACTCTAATTGTCCTCTCACTTAACTGAAGTTAGTGTTGAAATGTTCCAAATATTTTGAAGCAACTTGAAGCCCAGAACTCTCAGTTTTAAACAATTTGCAAAGCCTTGAAGTCTCACTGAGAAGACTGGATTCTCTCGATAGTCTTTTAAGAATATTTTCAAAGGTGCAGTCGTTTTATCGGTTCAAACGACGGATTTAAAGGGCTTGAACCGGCTTTAAACCTTTGAAGGTCTTTGAAGCTTATTTTAACCACCAGTAAATACTCGAATTGTCCTCTGACTTAACTGAAGTTAGTGTTGAAATGGTCCAAATATTTTGAAGCAACTTGAAGCCCAGAACTCTCAGTTTTAAACAATTTGCAAAGTCTTGACGTCTGACTGAAAAGATTGCATTCTCTCGATAGTCTTTTAAGAATATTTTCAAAGGTGCAATCGTTTTATCGGTTCAAATGACGGATTTAAATGGCTTGAAGCCAGTTTTAAACCGTGCAAGGTCTTTGAAGCTTCTTTTAATCGCCAGTAAATATTCTAAATGTCTTCTCGCTAAACTGAAGAGAGTGTTGAAATGTTCCAAATATTTTGAAGCATCATGAAGCACAGAACTCGTAGTTTTAAAGAAATTTGCAAAGTCTTGAAGTCATTATTCATACTCAATTCGCAGGCGCAAAAAAACCCAAACTCTCACTGAGAAGATTTTATTCTCTCGATAGTCTTTCAAGAATATTTTCAAAGTTGCAGTGGTTTTATCAGTTCAAATGACGAATTTAAAGGGCTTGAAGCCGGCTTTAAACCTTGGAAGGTCTTTGAAGCTTCTTTTAACCACCACTGAATACGCGAATTGTCTTCTCACTTAGCTGAAGATAGTGTTGAAATGTTCTAAATATTTCGAAGCAACTTGAAGCCGAGAACTAGTAGTTTGAAGCAAATTTTCAGTCTTGAATACATTAGCTTCATTCATACTCGGTTTGAAGAGGCGAAAAACCCAAACTCTCACTGAGAAGATTTCATTCTCTCCATAGTCTTTTAAAAATATTTTCAAAGTTGCAGTCTATTTCAAAGTTGCAGTTTTATCGGTTCAAATGACGGATTTCAAGGGCTTGAAGCCAGTTTTAAACCGTTGAAGTACTTTGAAACTTCTTTTAATCACCTTTAAATACCCGAATTGACTTCTCACTAAACTTTAGTATGGTGCTGAATTGTCGCAAATGCTTTGAAGTCAGTTTTATATTTTGAAGCAGCATGAAGCCGAAAATTGGCAGTTTT